CCTCTCTCCCAGCCTTTGTTCTCCCGCTTCATTACCTTTGCTGTCTGCCCTGTCTTTCTCACACCTGAAGAAGGCTCCACGGCTGAAACGTTGCGTTTTCTCTCTTCTTTTTTCAGCATGGAATAAACCTATTACCTGTTCCAAAATGAACTTATTATTCCTTTCTCCACTATCAATGATGTTGCGACCAGATAATATCCTTTTCCACTCTCTACTGAATAACATAGCACAAGACATTCACACAATTGTACCACAAAAATATGATAACCAGTTGTTGACTTCACTTCCCACAGTCATGAAAACTACATTCTCTTCTGCTTACACAGGTTTGAGTTTCTCTCATTTTACAGGTGTTGAGGCTGCTTATATGACTAAACTGGCTGCTTAAAAGAGACCTACTGTGTCCCGGTCCCCGTTTCTACACCCCTGAGTTCAACGTTGATGAGGCGAGTAAGAAAAAGTCACTGAAATCTGGCCTAAATTAATCAAATCTGACCTGGACCTCCATGTAATTCATACCAATTGCCTGACTTCCAGTTCTCCTTTTTATGCATTCCTTTTAAGTCTGCGGCAAGACTGGGTAGGGAGCTCAAATACAATTCCACTTCAAATGAGCTCTTTGAATCTTTTCAGTCGGGGTTTATACAAAGACACGATGGAGACAGCCCTTGTAAAGGTACATTCGTTCATAATTTGTTAATGTATTTCTGGAATCCGTCTCCCGCACTTTAACCATGGCTTTTGAGCTTGTCAAACAGTCATAATATCCTACCTAAGAAAATAACCTGAACTTGAGGCTGCTTTAAATCAGATTTATGCCACTTACTCAGGGCAGTTACCTTAATTTGTTAGTATTGACACAATGTCTCCAGGTCAGACTATTTGCTGTTGTGTACTCGGGCTTCACTGCTAGGATGAAGCTCATTTGTACTTGCAAATCAAATCCGATACCCTGCAGAAAGTACAGTGGAGCAGTATCCCTCTTCCCCCAGAATAACACTGCACATTCAAGAACCTTACACTGCCTAACTCACAGCTACTCTCACAGTACTCTCTACTCTCACAGCTACGTTGTGAGAGTACAGAGCAAGCTATTAACTACCAAAGAGGTTAGACAGGCCAAATGGCTCTGATATTGTAGGGGACCAGGGCCCCCAATCCTGATCCATGCGCCAATCCATCAGATTACCCTGAAACATCAGGAGCTTTGGTAATTTATAGATGAAGTACGTAATTTGCTCAATTAAGGGAACTCGCGAATCCTGTGGTTTGTGTCACCCAGCACCAGCATATAACTCGCTAGGCAACGGCACTGGTCCCTAGGACAACTGCACTGGAATCAAGTGAAATTTAAACGTTCTCTCAAGAGTTTTAACAGCACTCTGAAACAAAATGGTCATTTTATTCCAGGAAAGGAAAATAACAGTTTTGCAATCTCTCCTGAAAGATGTAGGGTCTTGAGGACTCTAACCCCTTTCATCGACTTCGCTGACCTACAAAGGGTCAAAATCCAAAACCTTTCACATGGTTTCTGCACTCAATGAACTGGTTATTTTATAGACTAACTTTCATTATAAGACACACAAGTTCACGAAAATGTATTTCAAGAATTAATTTATTTTATTTTGATTACAATCTACAACATGTATATCTGAACACAATGGAAGAATAATCATTACCCTTGCAAGGAAAGTGGATCCTAAATGCATTCTTTCCCACTGTTCATGGGCTCAGGAATGACTACAGTAAACACTGTGAACACTGTCCTTATGTTAAAACTTAAATCAACACCTGCAAAGACAGAATGTAACAGTGCAGGACAGTAAGCACTAACCCAGCTGAGGGACTGCATGTTGGACACTAGCCATCCTTCATTAGTGGTCCCTTCATTCTTCAGGCTATAATAATGTGTTGCATTACCACAGACAAAATTAACTTGGAATTGAACCAAACCACTGACACCCTATGTTTCTCTCAAATTGTAATGAGGAATTCATATGGTACCTCTACTGCATCCTCACAAGACTCTGTCTAGAAGGACTATTACAAGTACCAAAAAAATGACAAAACTGTGCCTGGGGAAAAGAATGTTCTGAAGTTTTAAAACTTATTTTATATCAATGTTGAATAAAAGTCTCGAAGTGACATTTTACGCATGATACACATTTCACAACTCTCAAAGGGCAGATGTTGTATTACTTATGGTCAGTACCCGAAGGGCTACCTGCCAGTCAGCCCCAAGCATCTCCAGTTTCAGACAAATATTTTCTGAAAGTCCATTGTTCTTAAAAGACTAATGTTGAGAAGTGTCTATTCAAACGTTAATTCAATGATCTCATCAGAGCTTTAAATTACACCCTCCGGTCTAGAACAGGGATCCCATCAAAACGATGACTCCTCACCAGGCAGCTACGTCAGACCCAGAAATTGCCGGTGGGATTTTGACCAAGGAGACCGAACAGGACAAAGCAGAAAACAGAACCTGGGATTAGGGACTGGAAAAAAAATAAGAGAAACTTTGATTTCATCAGGATCTTCACTGGGATTTGAAATGAAGGCTGGGGGTTCAGATTTATCTACTTCTTTAAACGTTCAGGTCAACCGGGGAGTGCATTAAGGCTCCTAATGTTTTGTACTATCCAAAGGATAGTTGTACCATTCATTTCTAAAATACTATGAATTCAGCAAAGATGGTGCGTGAAATTAAATTCCCAGAACTTATCAGGCATAAATAATATTACAAAATAGGCACACCTTTATATACCGGGTGGCAAGGTCTCTTGCGAGTAAACAAAAGTAGGAGAACAAGCGTCGATATGCTAGAGTAAGGTTCATCCACATGCACGCAGATCCAGCTTTGTCAAATCCCAGCAGAGTTATACATATTATATGAAACCTGCAGTACCGGATGGGCTGCACAGAACCGCAAGCACAGAAACACACTGGTGTGGAAGACACAGCTGGTAACTAAGCTTGACTAGAGAAGATCAAGACTCGCTACAGGACCTATGAAAGTGGTTAGAGCTGGAAGACAAACTTATTACTGCGCTTTCAACTCATTTCGAAGGCCGGCTGACTGCCAGCTCTACGTGAGCACACGTAACTTCATAAACGGTTCCTTTCAGCCCACGCTATTTGCAGAGGCAAGAGAAAGTGCAATAAGGACCATGTGGACGTTCAGCACATTTGACTAACAAAGCAGGGGTATAGGCTCCTGAGGCACGGCGTGGCAGACCACAGAACTCCTCTCAGACAGGCACACCTGCTGCAGAGCGCAGTGTGAGCAGAAGCGAAAAAGGATTCTTAAACCTGAACATCAAAGGCCCTTCTTGGCAGGTGGGATGGTTACAACCGCATCGCGACAGAGTCCTAACCAGAAACCTCACTGTGCAATTACAGACCACGGAAGGTGTCGCGCGCTGCAGCTGCTCTTTCAGGTCAAACCCAGAGGCGGTAAAGGGGAATATCAAACCTCAGAAAACTTCAGGCTGCTTTCACTCCAACAAAAACCTGAAGTTTGGCTTGAACTGCAGAGTTGTAGTGTTCATATCGGAAGATGACACAGAATTACAAATCTCTCTACATACAAAGCTGTAAAATAAAAAACTGCTTACCGAAACAAATCACATCAATGAATGGGGTGTGGTTTGGAACTATTAAAGATTGAATGGGGATATTGTTCATATATTTGATATTTTTCTTACTGTACTCATAGAAAAAAAAGTCATTTAGTAGCAAAGGGTCAAATTAAAACCTAAATATGTCCCTTTTTTGCATGTATTTGCAATTAAATTCAACATTACACCAGCACATAATCTTTTGTAAATTGGGGGCTTTCTTGAATTACTTTCTGACGTTATTATAGGGAGTTTCAGCAGGTCCCAAGAAAATGTATGTACATTTCTACTACGGATAAGGCTGTGATTACATGACTCACAGTACGGATCTTAGCCAAGCAAATCATGCCACTGAAACAGGGTTCAATGTGAAACCAATGTGCACGATCAGAACTTTCCAAAAGGTATCCAACTCGTAGATGCTCACATGCAAAGATATCCAATTTAACATTTGACATTTCTGTATAGAAAATAAACTTAGCATTGGAGAGATCAGTCCATATCCACTAGGCGCCAGACCTTGATAGAATGAGCATCAAAAACACATTTAGAAAGTTATGTTTACACCGGAAGGCTAATTCTGAATATGGGGCTCAAATGTGACGCTATGGACAACTTAAAAAACGGATGTAGAGGAGAATATGAAGAGTTGTGACAGAAGCAGGTTAGGGACTGTCTCCAAAAGAGCTCGAACTACTGGAAGAATACTAAGAAAGCTCAGACGGAAAAGTCTGAAAGTAAACCTCTAGGGGAAACTATGACTGTGCTCTGTGGTGTTTGAAGTAAACCTGACTTGCTATTTGTTGCAATAAATGAAAGAGGAGATTTCTAAGAGGTACATCCAACAGACAGAAAATGTATCGTGAGTTTTATATACCGCTGGCGTTTTCTCCGGAAAACACGACACAAACCATGCCACTTAATATCACCTTGACACGAAAGGTGCAATCGCTCAACCTTATTGAAAACCATGATTTGTTTGAAGCACTTAGTAGGCTGTCTTATCAAAGGGGATGAGGTCAACTGAGAATTAATCTTAAAATATATGATGATACAAACATATTTAGCTAGAGCCCCGGCGTCCTGAAAATAGGATTAGCTGCAACTTTCTTTTTTAAATAAAGCTAGCTAAAACGCTCTCTAAAAATACCACAACCGCCTTGACTTTAAAAGGAAAATTATCACAGATACGCTAAAATTATCCCATCTCTTATATCAAGTGATGTGTTTTATCGTCATGTGAGGCATTTGTCTCGGGTTTTTATAGCAATTCCAAAAATATGCTAGGAAATCTCATCTCCCATTGCACACTCCAATGCAAACAGATTTTGGAGCTGCATAACAACTACGCTTCGGAAATAAAAGTTTGGAAAATATCCTTACACTCACCGACGCGTCCTCCTGCGATCTTTTTCTCCGATTTGGAACTGGAGATAATTTCCCTACGAATTAAACCTCGGTCAAAACTGTAAAGGAAAATAAGAGCCCAGACAAGTCTCAGAAGATTAAGGCAAATTCAGATGAGGGTCATCCCCTGTGCCTAGTCTAAAAAAAAATCCGTGCACTTTTTGGTAATCCGGCAGACGTAGAAAAAAACCTCTATTTGAGCAAGGTAATGTTTTCGAAACTTCGCCAGTTGTTTCTTTCAATAAAGCAGCGCCAACCTTGTAGATTCTCCCCTGTTAGTAACAATATAACCAGTCTTTCCTGTTCCTGCTCACAGAGACCTCACGCCACGCATCCCTGCGTCACCGGGATCGGCGGGCGCCACGGCCAATCACAAAAGAGGAGGGGGGCGGCGACCGCGCGTCTCGACTAATCAGAACGGGAGGCGTGAGCCCACTCTGTCCATTTACAGGACGCACAGTACGTCAGCCACAGAGTGCACCCATTCGTACACACAGCTGGGCTGGGGAAAGGTTAACCCTCTGTTGGAGTGGTCGTCAGATTTGATTTTTAATGGGTGATTCACATAATGCCAACCCATTTTTTTTACAGAGTTTATATCACATTTCTTTTGTGGCCCCTGGATGATGTCGTTTGATGAACAGTATGTACTGTACTATGAATGTTACAGTCACCGTTTGAAGACTCACTCCAGGATAAGGGGTTCCAGGGAAGTTTCTGGTCATCAGCTTGTTCCCAGAAAATATCCTTTATCCAATTACACCTCCTCTTACAATGCGGAGAACAGTTGAAACAGTTGTGCAGTTGAAAGCACACAATTTAGAAATGAAGGGATGTCGAATTAAAATTGTGTAATACACTTGAATGACCTCGTCTGGGTTGGGTGCACATTTTGGACACCATATTATATAAAAACATACTGCTGCTTTAGCATCAGTCCAGAGAAGAGCAACCAGTTACACTCTGGTGCTGAAGGGAACAACCTACACTGGACAGCCTGCAGGAATTGAACAGAGAAGATTATTAGCTGACCCCATACAAGTATCCAAAATCCTCAAAGTCATGACAGAGTCAACCCAGTGAACGTCTTCTTCAGAATCAACAAACCTGAAGAGACAAGTGGAAACTATGTGGGAGCACTTTTAAAACAAGAGAAAACAAGGAGGCACTTGTTTACACAAAGGGTTGTGGGAGAATGAAACAGCCCAGTTACGGTATGTGGTTGATGGGCCAAATCGCTTTCTCTCATTTGTAACCTTTGTTATGGCCCTCTTCCTCTGCTAGAACTTTACCACCTCCAAGAGAATGCACATTTCTTATTTCTTAGGACCCATTCCAATATTTCTGTGGCACAGTGGCGAAACAATCATTCCTCCATCTAGCCATTATGAGAAACCTGTTTATTCCTTAGGTATGGGTCACAGTACCCTGGAGACTCTCTGTTGCTTTTGCAATATGCCCTGAGCACTGCCTTTTAATTTCCTCATTCTTGTAAATGATGTCACTCTCTCTTCCTGGAGCAATGTGTATGGGCCATTTGTTGTTGCATTTAATGAAGAGCAATTGCATTAGCTAAAACTATTTTAAGCCAAAATCTTCTCAACAGCTTCCTGTGACTTCTGATCAACACAAAAAAGCTCTCCTGCATGAGTGTAATGGGTAAATGTGCATTGACTTCCAGTCACATTGTATTGTGTGAAGACTCGTGTGGCATTAGTGTATTAAGAGGACTTAGAGAAACTGTATGTGAACCCCTGAGCCTCTGTCTCTACCTTCATGGTCAGTCAGTGAGATGCACAGCGTGCTTCTGCAACACTCACAACTTAACTGTTCAATCATGTAAACATTTTAAAAAGAAAGAGAAGTTGATTTTTGCTATTGTTCTAAAATGGAGAACCCAATTTTTGCAATTCATATTTAAAATACTAAGGTAACATATAACAAAATGGAATCCTACTCATTATTTCCAAGCAACAAAAAAGTTTTGTGTATGGTATCAATCATAAGAAAGACAATCCTGTCAAAAGGCAAAATTGAAATATTTTACCTGCTGCAAAAAACTCTATCTATAATCTTTTGCATGGCAAAATTATGTGAACAAAAAATAATATCACCAGCTTAAAATTTTAGTGTCTTATAACTAAACTGCATGAGCAGAATATCTGACCTCCAGAAACGAAGGGTTAAAAATGGGTGTGGGTCTTGTGAATACCACAGGCCTCAGGTGGTGATGTCACTGACAAGAAGCAGACGGGGAAATAGTTCTGTGTACTAAGACGTGCTGTTTGCAATAAAAGGGAGCACAAGTCCCTCTTTTAAAAAAAAGTGAATTTACCTACTGCGAGTTGAAACTTTTAGGTGTACTGTCAAATACTGCTGGTCAGTGAAACTTACTGTTACACTTCAAAGGACATTACTAACATCGAAAATTCTGGACTAACATCACAGTGCCCTGAGGGACGACAGGCACTCTTTGACCACAGCAGCTCCTTTTAGGGACTGTTCAATTCCTCCAGGCGCTCGGCTGATGATGATGTCAACGTCTGCTGTTGGTACTTCCACCTCTGTAGGGGCTGGACTTTGATGCTTGACATCATTAAATGAGATGATGTCGGTGTCATAATTCTTTAAAAATAGAGCATGATGACACAGTCTACGACTCATTTTGTTTTGTTTTTTTTTCCAAGAATGTGGGACAGACAAAGCAGAGGGAAGATTTATTTTGTAATAAAGGCCCCCTTATCTGCCCTGTACAGTTCTTTATAATTTCCTGAAAGTAAGAATGATGATTTAACTACTGTAAATTGGATTGGTGCCTGAACAGACCCATTATTCTTAGTGTTGTCCCATTAACCAAAGCCAAAACATACGTAAGTTCCTAGGACAGCAGACATATATGGGCTTTGTTTTCAATATAGCTTGCATTGCAATTTCTTAAGTTCGTCATCAAACCGTGATTAACTTGATTGGATTCAAGGAGTTAGAATGAAATCTTAGGGTTAAGACACATGCAAAGGAAAAGCAGTTAAGCCCTTTTTTGGGGTTTGGTACACAATGTCCATGTGCCGCCCTTATCAGCCGGTAGCAGATGTCATTTGTTTAACATACAATCTTCCTGTCTCTTTCAACACTAAAGCCATGCCAAGGTCTAAGCAGGCTTCCAAAACAGGCTGCATTTAGTTGGATCAATGGTGGAGCTTAGTTGAGGTGGGAGAGACACCACCAAGAGCATCAGCTGTCTGGTTTTCTGTGCATGTTAAGAGCTTGAGTTTTTATTACCATAATTACTGCAGTTTTTGTGCACACGCAAATAATAATAATAAATAGTTCCTTACACTTGTTAGACTTATAGAGCGCTTTTCTGGACACTCCACTCAAAGCTCTTTACAGGTAATGGGGATCCCCTCCACCACCCACCAGTGTGCAGCCCCACCTGGATGATGCGCCAGTACACTCAGCACACACCAGCTCTCAGTGGGGAGGAGACAGAGTGATGAAGCCAGTTTAGAGATGGGGATTATAAGGAGGCCATGATTAGTGAAGGCCAGGGGGAAATTAGGCCAGGATGCCAGGGTAACACCCCACCCCGACTCTTTTCAAGAAACACCCATGGAGCACAGAGACTTAGGACCTCGGTTTTATGTCTCATTGGTAGGATGGCGCCTTTTTCCAGTATAGTGTCCCTGTCACTATACTGGGCATTAGGACCCACACCGACCGCAGGGTGAGCACCCCCTACTGGTCCCACTAACACCTCTTCCAGCAGCAGCCTTAGTTTTTCCCAGGAGTCTCCCATCCAGGTACTGACCAGGCTCACACCTGCTGAGCTTCAGTGGGCTGCCAGTTGCAGGGTGATATGGCTACTATCATGGTGCTGCCCTGCTACACCTGTTTGCCTCAGTTTTGCAAATATTGCTGGCAGCTGAGGGTGCAGTTTCCTGTACCAAGCTATTGTAAGGGGCAGATTGACGTCTGACACATGGTTTGGCGGTGCTGAATGTGTCACGTGACACAGAGCAGAATGTGTCACCAGCTCATCCAGTGTGGCTCGAGATCGGAAACTTTCCATTTGGAGTGGACAGTCGAGCGGTTACGAACTATTTTTCTCAGTTTTAAAAACTAAGGGGCAACAAAATCACTGAAACCAACCGTCGCCTCTCATATTCATTAAAAATTAAAAAAAATTGAATTTAAAAATAACATTAAATTATTGTAATAACATGGGGGCTCATTGTGCTGTTAATAAACATTGAATATTGTAACCCTTTTTCATTTTGAAACTGTTCAGTGTCAACAGACAAGGAGATGGGAGCAATCCTTTACTGAACCAAGTATGTCAATTAGGAACATTTTTGTATTTAAAAAGAAGACTTGGAGTAAGTGAATTACACAGTAGGGCATTTACTGAAGCATTTGAGCCTCCTGTTTGCAGTTCAGAGACCGAACCACTATTCATCACTGCTGCTCCAAGAGAGATGTAGAGAGCAGTTTTTTTCCTTTTTTGGCCACATACTGTACTGTATATTGTCAACTCTAAGTGGAAAAGATTAATATTTACAGAATGTCCTCTGACAACTTCAATGTGGATGTTTAAAGAACAGCAAAATGTAGTTGTGTGGCATTCTGTCTAGAATGATGGCAATGTACTGAAAATGTGCCTGAAATATAAATCTTTTTTTTTGTTAGTTACAATTCACATTGTCTTAAGATATCTCACAGACCTTTTTGGGCTATGGTAAATATTAAGTCAATTTAATAGCTGATCCGAGTAAAGATCTCATTCTATCAGACGTAGGTAACAATGCATTTGAAGGCATTTAAATATCCTTAATGCGTGACCTGTCACTTTGCTTTCACATTTTCAGTTTTAAGAGTCTTAAATAAATACATCTATTATATTGGGGGTTACAACATT